AGGGTTAATTGAGGGTGAAACAACCCATACTTAACCCAATTAGTAATTGAGGATTAAGTGGTCAGTTTGCACTTTTAAAAAGGCACAAATAACATACCCACAAAAGCTTTACCTACTAAATTGCCGTACTGCTGTTAAAAACACAAGAGAAATAACAGTAAAAAAAGTCAGTATATATTGCTTCTCAGCCTTTTGGCTAAGTTCAGGTGCATGTAAGTGAATATATTTAATGAACTGGTTCCATAGCTTCAACTATGGTGGAGATGGAGAGAGTAGTAGTCTTTCTGATGCTTGCCAGACTTTTTCTTTGCCTTTAAAAAGCAGTGCACTGGCTATGAGTTGAAGGAAGTTCAAGATGCACTAATAGGGAAACAGCTGCTTTATAAAATATTTTGGGAAAATGTTATTTCCTTGTTTTGGAAGCAATTGTTTGTCCATTTCTTAAGTTCTTAGGACATTTCACAACAACTAAAACTATGATATCCAACACAACAAAACATTTGAAAAATAATTTAAAACTAGATTATGAAACCAAATGAAGTAAGCACTAACGTGGGAAAGCTGTTTTCAACAACAGAGGAAGCTGTAAGTGTGAGTTGTATGAGAAAATACCATCTAGAAAGATTCTGTTACTTTCAAAGTACCATTCTTGCAAGTTTTTTAAAAATCACTCAATGCACTCCATTTCACAGCCATATATACATTCTATAGTTCTTTTTTTCCTCTCTCATGAACAACCTGCAATTATGGGATTCCCAGTTGTGTTAACAGGTGACTAACAGTAACATAATACTTTCTGGCTGTTGTAAGCCACAGCATTGTGGTCTGACAGCTTTAAAAACTAATTCCTTCTTGCATAGGTCACCATCATGTCCCTTGCTTTTGCTTTGGAACGGAAGAGAGAATAACTTCCTAAGGGTCATCCATAAAATAGGTCATACTTTAAAATGACCTTTTAATAACCCATTCCCCCATTTTTCCACTCTGTGGATTCAACATCTTCCCAATTCCCTCCTTTCTGACCCTCTGGCTTCAGTCATGAATTTTTACATGTGGTCTAGCTGTCATCACCTTCTTGTGACGCACCTGTGTTTTCCCACTGCCGCTTTCATCTTTTTCCTTACTGCAAAATATCACTGAGGGACTAACATATGAGGAAACCCTGGAATCCTTGGAGGATTTTGGACAAACATCCAAAATGGTTCCCCCTCATGACTTCTTCTCAGCCTCTCTCTGCCCCCTACATTTGCCTCACCACAGAGCCTGGTAGTTGTGGTGGTGGCAGCCATGTCCCATGCCTGTTACATGGTAACATCACTGAGGTAACTCTCTGCCCTCAGCCGTGGGTTCCCTTGAGCCAGACTGTGGCTGAGGGAGAGGAAAATGGTACTACTTTCTAAGTAACCAGCAACACCAGAAAACTAAAACAAATAGGGCTTGTTTTGTGTAACCACTGCCCTCCCTTCTCTAGGGTTCTTTTTGGCGGGAGAAGTTCATCTCTGAGGAGCAGAGATGGCAGGCCAAGATCTCACCCGTTTGCCAAGACGGATTGTCACTGAGCCCTGTTTCTACCACATGTAGCTTCCTTCACCCATCTGCCTTAGTGGATGATACATGCAGAAACGGATTTTTTCAGGAATGTGCTTTTTCTGCAAAGTTTTTCCACCTCAGAGGCAGATATGTTAAGTAGTTTATCATCTTCATTACCATCACCACTGTGGTATTATGAGTGTAGTATAGTGGCTAAGAGTGCTGGACTGGGACATGGAAGATCTGATATCTAGTTCCCACCTAGCTATGGAGTTTGTGATGTGGGGCCAGTCACAGACCCTCAGTCCAACCTACCTCACAGGGTTGTTGTTGTGAGGATGACATGGAGCTATGTGAGGAGAAAAGAGAGAGAGATAAACACAATGCAATAAAATCATAATGTGGTGGTTTAAAAGACCAGTGCAAAAGTGTCCTTAATTGGGAGCACTGCTGTCAAGGGCTGAAACTTCACTATAACCACTTGCTGTTTCCTTTTTTTCCTTCTTGTAGCAAGGGAGAAAGAGGGCTGGCCTTTTTTTGTTGCTGCTGCTTGGGACTCTTTATGTTCAGAACAGCAGGCTTCTGAATTGAATCAAGGTGGACTCTATCCCACAAAAGTCAGACTGCACAAATGAAAAATGGCGGCTGCAGAAGACGAGGGTGGTGGGGGTGGCAGAGTTGCACTTTCCAGGTAGATAATGAGGAGCTGGGAGAAGGGGCTGAAGCCAGGGAGTCTGGGCACTGCAGTCTGATATATTTGGAAGGCACCAGTTTGGGAAAGATCCCCATTTGAAAGAAAACTCATCTTGTTCTGGGAGCTATTATTTTCCTTTTCTTTAAGGATTCTTATTCCTCATGGCCTGTGGGAATAAGATATGCCTCACTTCTGTCAAACTGTATTTATCACTTGCTTATAAATGCAATGAAAGCACTGTATTTTCTCTGTTCTCTCTCTGTGGGAGACTTTCTGGCACAAAACATAAGTCATTATTTTCATCAGCAATTCATGCAAAGGAGATGGCCTTCCTTTACTTGATGAGAAATTGACTTCCAAACTGTTCTGCTCATGATGTTTACCAGTTCATCCTGAATGGAATGTGCGCACTTTGCATAGCAGGGAAGGTATTCATTTTAAACTAGATTCTGCGATTGTGTCTTGCCATGAGACACCATGGAGTTCGCAAACATTTCCCACTACTCCTTGTGACACTGTCCCAATGTCCACACAAAGCATTTTTTGTATAATAGTGAACAAAATAATTTCTGCAAGGGTGGCTTTATAAAGCCAATTTCTTCGATATGCTCCTTATGAACAGTGTGCTAAAACTGAAAGTTCTTCAAATTTGTGTGTGGGTTTGTAACTCTCCCACACCCTCATGCAGGCTTTGTGGACTGTGCTGCAGTTGTGAAGTTTAGTTCTGAATCATTATCGGTAACCTTTTTGCAGTTGCACCTTTTATGAGTAATGCATTTGCACCAGTAACAGGAAGTACCACAGCAAAATGTAGGGTCTTCTAGTATGCTATATTCCAACCAGGAGTAGGGTTTGTGCCATGTTGGGTTGCAATGTTGCCATGATTTGCCATTTTTGGTTGATGAAAAAATATTTTAGAACTAGCTGAATCCAATTTTTTTCTTTAGACTGCACAATGATACTTGTAAGAAGCAACTTTAAAAACTAAGTTTTTAGCAACTCAAAGCAATCAGTATCTGCAGTTCTGAAACATCTCTTTTCCTAAATATGTATTTTCCAAGAATTAAATTCACTACTGCCAGATAATGCCTGCACCCAGTTGATTCCTGATTCATTTAGTCCTGGGGAACACTTTGCCTTACTTTTGCTACATTTGTGAAGTGCTAAAGAGCCCAAAGATGAAGCTCCCTTTGTTTTTGTAAATATGGAATAAAGGAAATATGAAGTGTTGAATCCAGTGGGGCTGATTGATGAGTAAGCATTCATAGGCTTGCACAGGAAGTAAAGTAACCCCATCCCCTGTAATGCTCTGAAGAGGGAAAAAAGAATACATTTTGGAGAAAGTGCAGATTAATTTGTTCCTCCTCTTCTCATTTTTCCTGGCTGAATGCCTTGGGAGAAAAGAAAGAGAGCGAGCCATGGAAAAGGCATATTAATTCTTCCTCCTTACCAAGGGAGGAGTGCAGAGCTTGGATATAGGGGAAAGGCCTGGGGAACTCCTTGCAGCCTAATGCTATTACATGCTTGAAAGTGTCCATAGATATCCAAAGGGGCTGCCCCTGTGAGTGTGAAAAATAGTGGAGTTGCCCACTCTGATGTTGAATTTGCGATCCTGCTTCCAACTAACACACTGGAGACTCCAGTATCAACTAGGTCTCTTCACTGCATTAGAGCAAATGCCTCAGTCCTCAACACACACAGGACTCCACCAGTCGGGCTGCAAGGGTGTAATTTAAACTAGAATCTAGCAAGCCTTCTTTGCAAGACCATCATTAGCAACCTCTTCTCTTCCTCTCCAGGGTAGAGTTTGTGTCTTTTTGGTTGAGTCTCCAAGCAGCCCTCTATTTTTGGTCTCAGGAGTCAGCAGCAATCCTTACGTGCAACATAAGAGAGAGGAGGGCCTAGTTCAGGCTCCTGGTCTACAGTGGAGCTGCCTGCAAATGTGGGTGGGTGGCTGGGGGTGGAAGCATGCATCCTAGCTTTTGGTCTCTAATCAGCTCTCTAAGTTGCTCCGTTGCAGGGGGTCCCTGCTCACTACATGTCACTGCATTTTTCCACCTTTGTTTTTACGTGCAAGCTCCTCATTCTGCCACCACCAGACTGCTGTCTTGAGGATGCAAGTATCAGCATCTCTTTACTAATGGTGAGAATTAGTAAATTACCAGGACCTGCAGGGAAGATTGAATTGCCTGGAACCCCAGCTTTTTTATTGGTGAGATCACCCAGGCCCCCTGCAATTACTTATGACAGCATGCTACCAGGTAGTGGTCTCCATGGCCAACTACAAGCTTTTAAAACATACACAGAGTGTTTTATAAATTCTGAGTCACATGGGCCCAGCAGCTGGGGAGTTGATGATGAAATAAGGTGATTATAGTCAGAAGGTGAGAAGTCTGCAGAGGGGGCTCAATACAATGGCATTTGATTCCAGGAGATTAACATGATCACTGAGGCACAGGGATTATTGTGGGTCTTGGCATGCAAATGAGGGTGATTGCAATGCTGTTAACCTGGCTGCTTTATCAGCCCTTACTGATTAGCAAAAACAATAGCCCTAGCAGCTTCTGGGAAAGCTATCAGTTCCTACTTGTTAAAGTAACAGCAATACTAAACAGTGACCTGGCTTGGATGCTTTCTGAGAAGAGGGTGCAGGTTTCATTTTGTAACACAAAGGCACATATAAGCAATTTTTTTCTACCAGGATTTATCTGAATTTTCCCAACACAAACACAATCTTTGATGTAGGGGCAAATCTCAAGCATAAGAGAAGCTCTTTATTCCCTTGCCCAGTCTCATTCACATACACATTTCCCAAGACAAGTCACAGTCCACTAAAACAAATTCAATCAAAAATTGACTTTAGCATTTCTTGCATGTACATATATGGGTACTCAGTTATGTCTTACTCCTGAGGGCATTTGGCATAATCTCTAAGGCTGCAATTCTATGTACACTTTTCTAAATCTGAGTAAGACACATGGTTAGGGGGAATATGCAGTAAGGTCACTCTACCCCAGGGCCTGGAATACCCCACCATTTTGTTAACACATAGTTACCATATTTCTGTGACTTTTTATACTCTTTTCATTGCATATACATGGCCACATTTCCAATATTTTTGGCTGATCTGACAATCGAGGACCTAAATAGAAACAGACTAGGGAAATTCCTGGCCTCTGGTTTAATGGGACTCTAGTACAGAAATGCCACCAGCAATTAGAAACCCAGCAGGAATACATTCATGTCTCCTTCTAAAAGTAGGATCTGAAACCAAAGGGTATTTTCCACAAGGATATTTTAAGATCCTCCCCACTATCAACCCATAGAATTAAACATATATTTGTTCTGCAAAATATGATCTGTTGTACTAAAGACCACCAGTTACAAACTGTAATGCTCAGTGGTAACTTTTTTTTTAAAAACACAGATAAATCTTGCTTTATCAACGTGACTTTCAAACATGCAAAAGTGTTTGCACTTTTCTATCAGCATGGCTGTGTGAAGAAATAAAGGACAGAGTTCTGGTTATGGAGACATGCCAAAGGATAGGAAGTTAGCCAGTAGTTTCGATGGCTTTTAAGCCAATGCATGGAAAATGGGTCTATAGATTGGCCATGGTGGCTAAGTGAAACTTCCGTGTTCAGGGACAGTGTGCCTCGGAATATTTGTCAGCGGAGGACAGCAGGGAGGAAAACTGTTGCTCTAAGAACAGTCTTGTGAAGGGCACCTTCTCTAGAGTGCCAAACAGTCATTATGAGTCATTGTCTTTGCAAGCAGGAAAGGAGCTGCTGTCTTGAGTGGTGGGATTAGGTGGTGCAGTTGCATTGTCCGCCCCATCATCACTCATCAGCTGCTTATACCGGCGCTTGAAGAACCCAACCTGGGGAGGGAAGGAGCGGGGGAGAAAAAAAAACTCAAAGAGAGCTGGGGGAAGGCAAACATTGAACCTGTAGAAGGTGGCATCCCCAGAGGAAAAGGCTTCATTCAGGCCTCAGCGGTTCATTTCAGAGAAGATAAGAGCAGAATGGTCCAAAGGCATTTCCTCAAAACCCGATGTCTGTGTCGATCACTGAGGATTATTTCATTGCTGAGAAAAGCCATCTCTGAGCAAACTTGGAGAGACTCTCTGACTCAGAGACACATGTCAATGCTCATACACCAGTAGGCTGGTGATGGGGACAGCTGAGATTAAGTCCCACACCCTTTACCTTGAGAACCCACCTTGAGCTCCACCTCACCTTGTAAAGGACTGCCACAAGGACAGCAAGAAGGACAAGCCCCCCTAGGCTGCTGCCAATGATCACAGGCAGGTAGTTGTAGAACTCAATGCGCTCCACCACTGTCTGCACCTGGGTGGGAAGAAGGAGGGCTGAGTGAACCTTACCCTCAGCCACCCTGATACCATTCCTTGATCCTAGAGAATCCCATCCCCTCCTCCAAGAAGCCAGGGGCCCAGGTGCTGGCCCTCTGCCCTCGCCTCCCTTAGGCAATCCCACACAGCCTGCTCCTTGAAGAAAGAGCAGGAGCTTGCACCTCAGCTGCCAGCCCCAGATGGTGCTGATGCTCTTTCTCCCTCCCCACATTACCTGGGTCTGTGCAAAGCCCTCCTTCTCCGTGTATTTTTCCTCATCATAGGAAATCTGTGCCGAGCTCACCAATATCACTTTTTTCTGCTGGATCTGGGTGAGAAGCAGATGCCCCCAGAGAGTTGGGAGTTCAGTGGTCAAGAGTTTTCCCCAAACAAGTATCAGTAAGTAGAACTAAAACAAGGATTTCTTGCCTGGCACTGAGAGGCTCTGGGGTGGAGTGGAAGTACATGTCAACATCTTGCAGGCCAAGAAATAAAAGGAAGGCAGGAGGGAAGGAAGGAAAGAAAGATCCTTCCCATCCCTCTTTAAACCCTTGATGAGTTCTCAAGGGACTGTCCCTAGGAGCAGCCTCTGTACCTGAGATGCCCACCGGAAGCTGATGTCCCCCTTGATCCTGAACGCCAGTGGCTGTTTTCGTAACTCCAGCAATGAAACATCACAACGGATCACCTTGCAGGCGGCTCTGGAGCAGTCCTGAGGGAGGTGGAAAGATACGCCTGAGTCAGGCCAAAGGGTGCATTCATGGCTGAGCATAAATGTGTGTGATTTTGTAATGCCAGTCCTGGCTGCAGAATCCAACATCCTGAAAATATCCACCTTCTTTAAGAAAAGGTAAAATTGGGTGTCTAGCCATCATCCATGCCAAGAGGCAATCCATGAGTCCACCTAACATGCATAAGATTGACAGACAGCAGCATAATCCTAGAGAACCATTTTTGGTTTTAGATTGAGTACCCCCCGTGGTGGGCTGGTGTATGTAGTGACTCCTCTAAGCCAGACCTATGCAATGTGGCAAATTTCTGGCCATAATCAAGAGGCTAAGGGCAAGTTTGCTTAATATGTATAATGTAGAAAAACAGCAGGAAAAAGGAACTAAGTACCCACACCCCTCAATTTACAGACCACTCATGCCCCAGTACATGTGGTAATCACCTACCAAACATGGTTTCCTTTGGGGGAGGCTGCAAAAACAACTCTGAGTACTCACCAGGAGGAGTGGCTCTTCCTTCCCTGGAAAATCCTTGATGCCTGGAGTTTCTCTTTCCAAGACGCATCTGGCAAGCTGAGGCTATGGATGAAAAATGTTTCAAGAATTCATTCATTTGGGGAATAGGGTGGACAGCAAGATCTTCTGCATCTCAGGGGGCTCAAGAAGCCCATGTCAATTCCTATGTCAAGCAGGCACAGGCAGGATCAGGGCCTGGAAGTGGGAAATGGAATGTTTTTCTTATTTTCCAAGGTAGGGTAAATGGAAGAGCAGGGGCATTTCACTGGTGTGACCAGGGATTGCAACAAGGTGATTGAAATCAGCATACCTCAGAGGGGAAGACCTGAGACACATTCCACAGCTGGATCCCATTCAGTTTCACAGGGATCTGAAACCTTACTGAAATGGGGATGCTTCGTTCACGGAGGTTCTTCACCTAAACAGAAGCAATTTCTGCTCAAGTCTTTTAATAGGGGTGCATTCAAAATGTGAGCCTCAACCTGCAACCTGAAGAGGCACCCTCCATTCTACAACCTCATTCACAGGCCTAAAAATGGAACCCACTCTCCAGCCCAACTCTAACATCCTCTTTACCAGGGTATTTACACTACAGACCTCAAGAATGAGTCCTGATACCTGGCAACTGTTGTTTCAGGGTGGGTTTCTAGGCAGACAGGAATCCCTAACAACAAAATTTTCAGTACTCCAAAAGTACAATTTCCTTGCTTGGGAAAGAAGCAATGACATCTCAACTTGTATAAACCCATTTCTATACATAGGAACCCTACTTCCAAGTATCTTCAATTTCAGTGCACTAGACATTACATCTTTGGTTTGGCATTTTTAGTTAAGCACCTCTTCTTGCCCATCATTTCTCCATCATCCTCTCCCTGTGGTAGCATCCTCCCCTTCCAATCAGCCACCAGGCTACTGTCCTTCACCTCATATCGATGTTCCACACTTTTGCTTGCTTCCTCCTGGCCAATTGTGAAGTTGACATACTTGGTTGACTCCTCAATGCTGGAAGGATGGAAGTGAGAAATAAGCATTAGTGGAGCTTAAATGTTGAGGCTTAAATATGGGGGATGATAGGAAAGGAGGTGCCCTGGGGGGCAGTGTCTGTTGGAGGACAGTCTGCATGCCCTGCTTTCTCCCCAAAACAACCTGGTGACTTACGCGGTGATAATGATGTACACGGCATATTTGACAGGCAAGTCCGCTTGGTGAACCATGTCCTTTGTGATATTGCCACCATTTTCACTGGACAAGTGGAAAAGAGTAAAGACATACATACATATACATATATGTGTGGCACTGATACATTCCCAAAGAAAGTCTGGGATGCCCCTGGAACACAGTTTCAAAGTCATTACAGTGCAGTATCCCAAATCTAGGGCTGAACCCATGAAAAACAGGGACAAGTTCAATGGGAATGGGTCAAATCGCACCCTGTAGCACCCATCAGATCTGTACCACACCTCCACCCACACACCCCAAAAGGTTAATTTTGTTCCACAAGGCTCCATTGTAATGCAACTTATTAACCCACAAGGCCCATACTGTGAAGTCACCTCTTGGCTTTAGCCATGATCCGCAGATTGCCCCCTAGATCAGCATCTTGGGAAACATCAAATGTGGCAATAAAGATAGCCTGAAAAGAGTATTTTTGTTAATATTACCATATGTGAAATGTTAATGACTTAACATGATTTTGCATTAAGTCCTTCTGGGTTTGTATATTCCCCACATCTGTCTTGTTCTCCAGAGGAAGAAATCAGAAGCTTCTGTTCCTATTTTACATCAACCCTGGCTTATGTCTCATCAGAATGCTAAATTAGTTAATCTTAACTTTTTTAATAAAACAAGCCAGTTGTATAAATTTTGATGCTGGCTTACTTCCAGTAATTCTTGTTAACATAATCCATAGTCTTTCCAAAGGATAAAACGTGCTGTGTTATCTAAAACTGAAGCAGAAACATTCGATCTCTTCTTTACAGCTGCTCTGCAGAGAATAGAGAGCACCTGAGCCCAGGCCAAACCAGTCCAATGGGTGAAGATGACTTTTGCTTTAAATACTCTTGCTTCCCTCCGGCACAACAGAGCTATCTGTGGTGCTGAACTTATCCCCAACATAGGTTCACCACAATGAAACACCATGGATAGTGCCTATACAGTTCAGCAAAATAACTGCTATGGATGACTGCTGACTCAGTTTGGCCAAGATTAGAAGCAGCTCCCCAGCAGAGGTCTCAGCCAGGGGTCTTTCCTGGCCTGCTAGCTGAGCAATCCCTTAACTGATTATGCTAAGCACTAAACATGCAATCTTCTGGATATAATCCATGAATTCTACCACAAAGCTATGGCTTTGTGGTAGAATTCGATGGACCTTTGGATGGTAGACATTTGATGACCTTCACATCCATACCTTTTCAAAATTATGCAATCTGATTTTCAGTAAGATGGCTAACCCTCTATAAACACATCTTCTTTTGTGGAGGGAAATTATTAACATCTTTTCCAATGCCATTTCAGATCTTATCTCTAACATAAGGGAAAGCTCATGGTACAGCCCTTCTCTGGTTGTTTCACTTCAAATTGCATCTCTGTTCTCTGTGTGCAGTAAACTAGACTGAATATGTGATCCTAGAATAGCTGCATGCAAGTTTTTCTAAACCCCTTCACTCTGACATATTAAATTTCCACATAAAAAAGTATTTGACTCAGAGGGAGCATCTCATCATTTAATATCCTGCTTGCTCTCTGAAATAGCACAGATCCAAGAGGCTTTACCACAAGTTTTTGTTTAATATCTAGATCAGTTAAATTAGTGGCCATCATCACCTCTTGCCCCAGTGAATTATAAGACAATAAAGGAGGCCTTACCTGCCCCCCACTCCAGAAAATGGGGTGGTTGATGTTGCATGTGGTGGCCCAGTTGGCCTGATCTTCAGAGTCAGGAGCTGAGTGGCATCTAACACTCACAACCTTCTTGCTGCTCTGAAAAGGGTAAATGCAATGAAGTTTATGAATGAAGTTTATGAGCAAGAAATTATCATACCTAAGGACCTCCATTGCTCCTGCTATTGTCCCTGTGGAAATCCAGCACTGAAAGCGTTAAATAATTTTGCTAACAGAAGATTGAAGAGGCTGCTTCTATCTACAGGTGGCTGATTTGGTCTGAAGTGGTTCAAATAGTTCACATAGTCTGATGTGGGGGGAGATCTACAAGACGACTCCCTAAAAATTCCCAAACTTTTATTTTGGAATATCCCAAATATATATTGCAGCATCCTGAGTCATGGGCAAGAAGTCCAAGGACTTGTGGCTTTATAATCACTAATGTTGTCATATAACACTCCTTACTGAAAGATGACAAGGAGTTTTCATTGGAAAGTTGGTTTTGGTATATGGCGATTTTGCTTTCTTCAAAGAAATAACAAGGTCAGAGATGGCTCTGTTTCGTTGAAGACCTGGCAACTAATGTACCTGAGATAATAAGGGTACTGGAATAATTCTTACTCAGCATCTGTTGGTTTGTGAAGACATCACAATGATAAAAACAATGATTGAGAAGAGATGTAGATGACTGAAGATGATTACACAGGAAAGGAAGCTGTGCTTGAGGAAGATGCACCAGGGGAAACATGTCAATCAAGATAACAATGCCCATGTAGGAGACCTACAAAGAAGGGTTCCCAATGAACCCATTAATGAAAATGCTGGAGATGTTTCCAAATACATGGGCATAAAACATGTTGGGGCATAGGCAGACATCTTATTCCTGATGAATTAATGGGTGGTCTCATCATGCAAGCAACTCATTTTTTATTGGAGGATGGCTGTTTCATGTTTCATTGAGACCCCCACTTCTGACTGGAATAAAGAACTTCACTTTTTGCTTTTTCGTTTCTGCTTGCTTTTGCTTCTGATCAATGCTGGACCACCAGACCTGAGGACCTGCACCTCTATGGATCTTCTGAGTTCCTAGGCTTAAATTGCAGAAAATTCCAACTCTTTACTTACTGTAGTCTTAGAATATTTTCTAAATTCAGAATGTTGTATAGTTCCTGAAGGTGAAACTTGAAATCATTTTCGGAGTTAGGGATTCTCTATATGAGCTATTTAACCCAGTGCTCTATCAAGGCTGCTTCCTCTGTTTTCTTTGCAGGAGGATTAGAGTGTGCGTCACACAAGGTTTTTCCCCACAGGGTTTTTCCTTCCATTACCTGACACAAGGGGACACTGCAATATACAGCAGAGTTGCAAATTCATATCTTGCTTTTGTAGCAAATAATGGCACCATCTAGGAAAATACCAGACTCTCCTCATCTAAACAAGCCACAACATGGCTAGGAAAAAGGCTCCAGAGGATGACTACATCCTGCAAAGGACCTAAAAACTTCCATGAATGAATGATCATGAACTCTTTGCCCCTTAAAGCAATCTTTGATCCAAACTTGGTTAACCCTTTTAATCCCAAATGTGGTCAACCCTTTAAGTGTCATGATGGTTTAGGTTCTAGAACTGAGTGCATAACATTTAGGTATAGGATATTAGAACTGATCCAACTTTCTATAATGGACACACCCAGAATTCACTTTTTAGGTCCCCACATCTTTTTTAATTAAACCACTTAATTTTCATTTTTAGGGCTTTTTAGGCCTCTATATTTTACTAAATTAGGTGCTAGTGTTTACTGTTAGACACCTAGAGGATCTTAATAATGATCTAGCTTAATTTGTTATATTCAAGTAGAGAGCAGGAGAAAGTCATGGGGAAATAGAAAATTTGACATGTTTTAGTTTAGCTTTGCAATGCAAGTAAACTCAGGAGATCCATTCACAGAGCTGGCTTTGTCAGCTGACACTCTTTTAAACAACCTTACTTTGATGTTACATTCTCTTTCATTGCACAATCACATCACATTGCATTTATATCTGCCTTTCTCCTTGTGAGGAAGCCCCCAGAAAGCTTTTTTATCATCATGCTAATTATCATCATTTCTTATTCTTTTATAATTTTCTTAAAGCATTTAAGGCGTTTCAGATTATTTCTGAGTCTGTGGTGAAGTTTGAACTTGACTGGCTACCACCTACCGGCAGCAAAGTGACCTTGCGATAGGAGAGCCCTGCAGGATAGAAGAATGTCAGTGTGGTGCTGTAGGAGTCCTCTCCATGGTTCCAGAGGGAGGCTGTTACATTCACCTCGGGTGTCTGGCCAACAACTAGCAGGCCCAGGCTGAGGGAACAAAAAATGGAGCTGTCTGAGTAATGATTCCCTATGTAGCCTTTCAAAACTCCTAGGGGTTTAGGCCCCTCTCTCTGACCCTGAACTCCTTATACACATCCCACACTATCTAAATGAAAGTAAAACCAGTAATCAGATGATATACATGAACATTTGCATTGTAAACTGCCAAACCTCATGAGAATGCAAAAGCTGTGCTGAGCTAGTCCAACATTCTATTCCCACAGTGGCTGACCAGATGCACCAAAAGCAAGTCCACCAGCAGGACAAGAAGATAATAGCAGGCATCTTTGGGAGGTCTGGGGCCCATTTTTGCCTCCTGGAACTGCACCCTCCACTGCAGATATTGACCACAGGAGGGAAATAAAGCAGATATCAAATGGAGTCCAGAGCCACTATAGAATGACAAAGGGGTTAAAACTGGCTTGCAAATGAGCTAATTTGACCCAGATGGCACTGCCACAGCTCCAGGTGCTATTTTGTTCATAAAAAATGGTTTTGAAAATTCTTCAGAAGCGGTTCTCACAAAGGCCACATGTTGCCTATGCCTGCTCTAAAGAATTCCTCATTAATCAAGCAGGTCTTACAAATCTTACTAGAGTTCTAAAGCAGAGCCTGGTTCATTGCAATGTTCTTTGAAACACAGCTCAAATTATTTGATATCTGTCCCAGTCACTTCCTGGCCAGGACTGAGTACAGGAAAGAAGTGTGGCAAGCGCAAGAGAACCAGCTTCTGACCTGATCTTCATGTTCCTATTCTATACTATTCTATACTCCAGGTATCCTTCTGGGATACTTAGAAGGGCTGGAACTGGAAAGCCCAACATTATGGTGGTGCCAGTCCTGGAGGAATGTATCCAGAAGATGATGCTGATCAACTCCTGTTCTGCCTCATGCTGATTGACCTTTGGGGTGACTCTTGTTGGTGTCTTGCATGCTTTTTAGAAGACATTCTGAGGTTTGGGTGAAAATGGTCTTGAACTATAACTCTCAGGATTCTTCACCATTGGCCATGGTGGCCTGGGTTGATGCAAGTTCAGGTCTAAAACACCTGCAAGGCACCAAGATGTGGAAGGCTTGTCATCAGTATTCAGATAACACAGAGCTCACATTCCATGCAGCTGGTCCCCAGGAGGCTACAGAAAACCTGAACAGGTGTCTGGAGGCAGCTTGGGGATGAATGAACAAGCTGAGGTTTAATCTAGAAAATGTAGACAGGGGAAACCTGCTGATATGGATGGAGATCAGAGTGGTGTTGGATGGAGTTGTACTCTTTCTGAAAGACCATGAGTGCAGTTAGAGATTCTCTTGGAATCCGTGGAAAAACATGACCTTTTACTAGCTGTGGCCGATTTGCCAGCTGCATCCTTACCCAGAGAAAGCTGACTTTGCCACAGTCATCCCGGCCATGGTTACATTCAGTCTACTGTCCAGTTGCTTGCAGATGCCCAGTGGTCAGAGTGCAGAACACTGATTCTGTGCTTGTTGCAATTTAAAGTGCTTTGCCTTTAAAGCATTAAAGATCTGATTATCTGAAGGACTGCCTACACCTATATCAGATTTCCTGGGCCATAAAACTGGCCACAGAGGTTCTGCACAAGGGCCTGTCTGTAAGATCTGTTGGGGTGGGAAGCAAATGAGATGACACATTTTTTGTGGTGGCTTCATCCTTCTGGAATGCACTACTACAGGATGTGTTTGTGCTCCTTCCCCTGTTCTTAAAAGGACATTAAAAGCCTGAATGTTCTAGTCTGCTTTTAAATAAATGGATGCCCAATTTTATTTTCTAAATGGGAGTTGTTATTGATGTGGTTATTTTATATCTGTCATGCTGCTATTCTAGTTAAATGTATTTTTACTGTTTATCACTACTGTTTTACATTTTTACCTTGCAAATGACCCTGCAGAGGGTTCATCTTGAAAGGCACATTATAAATATATTAGATCAATTAAATAAAAGAAAAAGTAACCCATTTGAAATGGAAGATAGGGAAGCTCGGAGTATCCGACAGGCACATCCCACCATTACAGTGGACCTCCCAAAGGAAATGTGGCTTTTGGAGGCCTGACGTGCAACCAGGTCAGGTGGGATGTAGACAATGGAGAAGCAGGACAGAGAACATGTTTTTCATACCCTGAAAAAGTGAAAGAGGTTTGTAAAGCATCTTGACATTTGCCATCGCTGCCGCAGTTCTTCTCAAAGGGGAGCTGCAAACAGGAGGAGGGAAGGAGTAGAATGAAGCACCCGCTGTACACTGCCCTGACGATAGGGCTGCATTCCTTGCCCCACACTCTTCTTTGCTCTGCCCCACGCCTAACATCACCACACACATACTTGCCTTACACATAAGAAAACATTTGTTTCTTACTGTGCTGCTACAATACCTGAAAGCAACATGGCTATCATGATGAGGATATTGGAGGCAATGTTAAGCATGCCTCCCAGGCAGAGGCCCTGGGTTTCCCTTCCCATGATTTGCCTCCATATTTCCCCCAACACGCCCCCGCACACAATTTGGCAGAAGTGGCTGATTAGGGCTGGAAGGAGCTGAAATGTGTGCCACTTGGCCCCATCTTCAGCAGTTCCACATGCCAATCAGTTAGGAAATGGGGTGGGGAAGTGGCACAATGGGATGTGGAGCGGAGGTTTAAATTTCCCATGTGAGGACATGGAATTGAAGGGGAAGGATGAATGAGTGTGCATTTGCTTATGTGCAAGAGAAAGGAAATGAAACACAGAAACAGAGCGAGTCAGAAGGGGTCTCCTGGGCCATCTAGCCTGACCCCCGGCTCCAGTTGGCTCCACTCACGACATGCCCACCCTCGGGGTTCTGTCAGGAAGTGCTTCCTGGCATCGAAATGGAACCTGGGTTCCCTGAGCTTTGCTCCGTTGGAGCGCGTCCTGCCTTCCTCTGCAGGGGAGAATGACTTGCAGGAAGTATGTGTAACAAGGCAGGGTTAGGGCCCTATAGGGCTCTGGACTCACCCACCCACTCATTCCCCTCATGCTACAAGTAGCCCCTGGAGGAGTAAGCACACAGGAAGGAGAGGCGAGGCCTGCTCAGCTACTATAATGTTGCTGTCTCATCTTGCAGTGCTGGGGCCCAGAACATCATCACCTGTGCTGTGTAGATCTCCGGGGACTCTCCACTTAGGATGGGCTGGAGGCCCTTGAAATTTGAGATGGGCCTCCCTGTGAGGCTGTAATTGAGCCACAAGCTGATGGGCGTCAGAGTATCCTCAATGCAGATCTGAGAGATGGGACACCAAGAGAGATAGTATTTAAAAAGAATTATGAATTAATATAGCAGGCCGCATGTATTCCACATCTAAACCATTCCACATCTAAACAAATTTTGGAGCACTAAGCAATAAAAGATAGAAAGAATAAAAGCATATTTTAAAAGCCTAATTTTTTTTCCAAAACAGATACCAACGTAAAACACAGCTATCACTCAGGAAGGATTGTTGAAAACCAGATGTCTTCTGCAGGTGCTAGAAACAACACAATTTTGTCCCCTAGAGGTAGCAAGTTCCATAGAAAAGGAGCCACTACACTGAAGGCCCTTCTCCAGGTGGGTTTCTCCACCTGTGGGTTTCCTTTTCCACAGGTGCACCCAGAACCACCAGAAGCATCACACCTGATGACCTCAGTAACCAAGCTGGTTAATAAGAAGGAACTCTTTCAAATATCCTGGTTTCAGGTTCTTTAGGGCTTTATACAGCAGTAGCAAAACCTTAAACCAGGCCCAGTAATGAATAAACAGCCAGTGCAGTTCCCTCAGCAAAGGAGTTGCATGGTGAAAGCCAGCAGCTCCTGACTATCGCCAAGCTACTACCTTCTGCACTAGCTCCAGCTTTCAAACAAGCCTTAAGGGCACTGCCACACAGAGTGATGCAGTAATGAAGTCTTGAGGTGCCTTGTGCCACTGTGGCCGGGCCATCCCTGTCCAGGAGAGCCCATAGCTGGCATGCCAGTCAAAAGTGGAAAAGGGCACTCAAGGCAGCATGGCCATTTGGTCCTCTAGTGACAGTGATGCATCGAGAGGTTCTCTCCAGTCTACATACATTGTCTTGCAAAAGGATGCAACCTCAGCCAGCTCGGGAATGAGCCTGTTCCCCAGCCTCAGGAACCACTCACCCACAAGGCTTCTGTCGTGCCAGAATTCAGCTGCAAGTTACTTGCTCTCATCTAGCCCATCATTAAGTCTAGACATTGATCCAGGATGTGCACAGCTTCACCTGATTCATGTCTCACAGTGAGAGGCACTCTCTCTCTCCAGGAAAGGTTTCTTTTACATACCATTTCTGAGCCCAAAGACAGCTCCAAGATCACTATCAACAGTCAAGTAAATATTACAAATATTTCAAACATTTCCCTAGCTTTTTCTTTCCGGAAACAGTAAAAGGATGGGGTGGAATCCTTAGTACTTTCAAATTTCCCAGATAGGTTGAACTGTATGGTTTCTGAGCAGGACCGAAGAAAGCTGCATCAGCAATGCTCCCAGATGATTTTTTTAAATAAAAAACTAAGCCTGTAAAGACGGAGAGTTGTATTTTCATTGATCCAAAAGCCACTCTGGGAGATTCTGCACTGATGAATGGGCCAAAAATGCTGTGATAAATAAATAAGTATTGGACTATGAGCTTTAACTTGCATTAATTCCTATCCCATTAGGGCTTCTTTCATGCTTTTGACAACACAAAACATGATCTTTGTAGGCTCCCCACAACAGAGATGAAGTTGTGGAGAGAACTGCATCTGCTGGAACTTGTCATGCAACCACAAGCCAGGAAATAAAGTTGGAAATTCCAATTCTGCACTGAAATGCAGTAAACTAGTCACTGAGAAAAGTGTTTTAAAAGAGCGCGGTGGTCTGTGTGCTCCTGTGCACAAGGAAGATGGAGTGCTCAGCCTCCCTCTAGTGGCAAAACCTGGCCATGCAAATACAAACAGGCTTCTTTGCATCATCAAAGGCAGAAGAACTGGATTCTCTCACTGCAGACAGAATATTATTCTAAAATGTTTCAGGGACATCCTGCTGAGCAATATGCCAACTCACAGGCAATATAATTGAATAATCTCGGCAAGTCTGTTCCAGGCCAATCACCAAACTTGTACTGAGAACAGGGGATTTAGAGTGGAAGGAGGCGCGAATCTTCCTTCTTCCAGAGTCCAGGGCCAAGGTGTACTGAAGGTCACTCAGTATTTTACCTAGGTGGGGAAAGGGAGAGGAAAGAGGCAGGGGCTATGGTTAGCATCACAAAAACGAGGAGGAAGTCTACATAAAAAGTCAGGGAGTTCTGCCACAGTTAAACTATCTCCACTCACACAGGACTAACTGACATCCCCCACCTGGCAAGAAGGAACTTCAGTTCCAGTTCCTGCTTAAGTTGGGCTGCTGGTATTGTTCAGTTTTGTCCTCGATGTGTTTCTTGTTACATCTGTTCTAAATCACTTTGAGGACTCTGGTCAAAAAGTGTGATATAAGTATGCTCTATCAATCACATCAAGCAATAACTACTAAGAAAGGAGAGTTAAAAGTATACCAAAATAAAACTGACCAAGGGGATCAAGGAGAGGCTGCCTTCAAAAGCTGGACCAGGGTGGTGGGGAATGGATGGGCAAACTAGAGCAGGTCTCAGACTATTTCCTGTCTCTGACCTTCCAGGACTAAACCGTTCTTGCATAGTTCCTAGACAAAGCAGAACTAGTAGAAAGGCCCACCTGTGAAGGAATCTGTTAGCAATTCCAACACACTGGGGCATGAGTATGGTCTTTGGAGCAAATGTGATGTAATACTAGTAAACAAAGCACATCAGGGAAAACGCTTTTGAGGCGGGGATAGATTTCCCTCTCACCCTCAGCTGTGCATTAAGAGGCAGTGCAAGCCAATACAAAGGCCACACCACTTCGCTTGGGGCTGGGCAAGACGCTTTGCCACAGGCCACATGGAACATTCCCCTGCACTCCATACAATTTGCCAAGCATGCAGGTATTTTATTTACTCCCCACCCCCATCCCCGATCACAGGGGCTGTGGAGCCCTGTTAGCAGCACAGGGAAAGTCATTGGCGCCAGTCAGGGTCAACAGTGATGGTGCCGGGAGAGGCTTTGGCCTCCCACCTCCCTCAGCAACCTTGGCACAGATCACTGTTTCTCTGGTACCATTTGTGGCAGAGAAACAGCTCCTGGTTAGAGTCACTAGAGAAGGGGCATAAGCTTTTGTCCCACTCCTCACAGCTCATGATGCAGCCAGGATCATGGGGGGCAGGGAAGAGGCTTTAGCCTCCTCCATTCCCAGGGATCCCACCTCATGTATAGGCTTGTGCATACATTTGTGTGCATGCATGTGGCTGGCCCCCAATGCGCCACTCATCACCAGATATTGCCTGAAAGGCCAAAAAAGGTAGCCCACCCTGCCCTGTATTTCTGAATCAACTGCGTGTCTGCACATGTTAGAGCACTGGTGCCTGTTGCAGGACACCAAAGCCTGTGGGTAGAAAGGGCTACATCAGTGTTGCTTCCTCTTGCCGTCCAGCACAGGTACTGTGACCTTACCTAGTGTCTGCTGAGTTGCCAAAGCCACTTTAAAACACACTGTTGCCTTGCTGGCCTCTCTCCCCAAGAATTCTTGTCCATGACAGTCAAAGACTGCAGTGGGGATCACAGGAGGGTGGAAATCAATGGAGACCCTCATTTGCAGAATGGGACGGGATCTAAAAGGAAGAGAAGGACAGGACCATCATAACCCAGTTGCCCCCTGTGATTAGGGATTACATGTTCAATGTGTCTGCAGTTCCAGTAAGAAAGCACAGAGCCTCATATCTGGGACAGAACCCCTGAGCATCTGTTCAGTTTCTTTTTAAATCCAATACCTACTCCTCGTGGTGGTACCAGTGGGGATAAGGGGAGGATAGTTGTGACAATGTTGTGCATTAGCTGGGCTGGCTTCAGGTTTGAGGGGACCTCAACAGAACAGAGTCCTTCCTACATCAATAACCCACAATCACCGTTTGCTTGAGGTAACAGGAAATGAGAGTGATGGCTCCCAGACCCACCCACCTGCCACTGATGGCTGAGGACCAAACATGAATCCCCCTGAGGCAGCTGCAGCAGCTGCCCAAAGGTGCCACCCTACAGAAAAGTCACTGGCTAAGTCCTCATTGCCATACTAGATGCAACAGTGGCGGCATCTCTATACTTTCAAAAACTTCAAAATCAATGCCACTTCTCTTCCACTCTGTTGAAGAACAGGAAGGAGAGATGGCATTGATTTTAGCAAGCGCAACTCCTCTTCTGCCCACCATTTATTTGCAGACCATATCCCAGACTGTTAAGGTGCAATCCTATCCATGTCTAGACAGAAAAAAGTCCAACAACTCCCAGCATTCTCCAGCTAGCATAGGGTGCGTGGTACTCTAGAATTGCAAACTGTGCTCTGATTTTATAGGAAATATATTTGAATTAAAGTAAATACAAATTGCTGCTTGTAGAAAATGTGCCTGTCTAGGACATGTACTTGGGCTCTAGGACTAAAAAGGCACATGTGGAAATGAATTCTCTACTGTTTGAAGGGAGTAGAAGAACTGCCAGAAAAGCAGGGATGGTTCCCACACACCCATCACCTTAGCAGCACGACCTGTCCTTGTCGTCCCACAACAATGTCTTTCAGTCCATCCCCTGTAAGGTCTGTTCCTCCACTGACTGCTTGGCCAAAGTACAAGAATCCTCCAGAAAACTTCAGCCCTTCAATGCGCTGCAAAAAGAACAAGGGAGGGGAAATGGGCATTCTGTCACCAGCAAAAACCTTGGTGAACAAGGAATGCGAGAGCCAATGCCTTGTGCATCTCCTCCACAAGCCGCTCCATCGAAATATTATACTCTTGCATTTCAGTTTTAAGAAAGCATAAACCTAGCAGCATCCCCATAGGGAATGGTGTAAACAAAAAGCAAACATTTCAATTTTCCCCTCCTAGGTTGCTGTCACACCAGAGCCCTTCACTGCTGCTAAGGCATTGTTCTGTATATAACTGAAATTTGGAACTGGAACAAAGGTTTTACCATACGGAAGTTAATATGGTATTCTATTACTTAATATTGCCCTTCTCCAGGCTCAAGACCCCACTCTAACACTTCCTCAGAAGTAATTTCTATTCAGCAAAAGTTCCCAGCCACCTTAAGCAAACATTTTCTTCCTTTCAGGTTCAGTCCATTTAACTGTTTGATAATGAGAACAGCTGGGGAATAATAAGGAATAACTACTCTTAATTCCCCAAGTGTCTTTTGTTGTGGAAAGGTGGTGGTTTTAATTACAATTCTCATTTCATTTTAACTTTTATATTTGTATCATGAAATAGCAGTTTTATTATAAAAATGGAGGGAAAATAATGAAAGGAAATCAAAACCTACTACTGACAGGAAGAGAAACTGAAACTGGTGCCAATTTTTAAAAGCTATTTAAATGGCATACCATAAGGGTATCTCTCATCCACAATCAGCAGAAAGAAGAAAAATAGATTAAACCCAAAATGCACACTTTTTAAATAAAGACACAGGAGTCCCCAAAAGCTTCAATAGCTACCGTGTTTCCCTGAAAATAAGACCTAACCGGAAAATAAGCCCTAGCATGATTTTTCAGGATGCTCGTAATATAAGCCCAAAATATAAGCCCAAAATAAGCCCCAGTTAGGATCATCACCCATACAATGGAAGTATTGAATTATAAAATAATGTTATTATATAAATATAAATAAATAATAATATTGACATTAATACTTAAAATAAATGATAATATACATTATAATTAAGTATTTGTAAATACCGAAGCGGACGCCTTTGGACAAGAGGTAAACGCCTATTTAAATTGATGAATAAAAGACCTTTTGCTGAATGACCAATCAGAGTACAGATACAACGCATGAATAACATCAATATGTTGTGTGTTGTAACAGACGTACTTAATGCATGGATGCAAAATGCAAGATAGTTGCAAAAACAAAGCTATTCTGTCAAGTACAAATGACAGCTTTCCCAGAGAAAATTACTAGTGCAGAAGAAATTCTAGATGTGTCTTGGGTCAAGCAAGCTCTCAGAGTGTTGAAACAATAGGGAAAAGAGGTGACTTTATTATTTAGAAAACCTCAGGAGTAAGCCAAAATACCAAACATCCTCCATAGAAAGGAAGTAGAAGTGAGCTCACCTGGATATAATTGGGATTGATTGAAGTCTGTTTCCCTGCAAATATATACAAGGCTCCTGCATTCTCATTCTCCATGGGGGCCCCAATTGCGACATCTGTCCATCTGTCCCCAGTGATGTCACCCGTTTCTGCCATACTGGCTCCAAAGCGACCAAAAATGTGTCCCCCCAGCCCTTTCAAAGCTGGGCTACACTGAAGTGTTGTCTTCTATACAGTGGAGTCAAAGAAAACATGTTAATGTTGAGAGCCAAAGAAAAACCATTCCCAGCCAGCAACCCCTACCCCATGGCTTCTACCTCATACAACAAACACCTGTAGCCGTATCTACACTGTGAACTTTATATCGCTATTATGTCAGTGTGAGCTTTCAGTTTCCTGAAAGAATCCCAGGAATTGTCCTTTAGTGAGAGTTCTAGAAATCCTCCTAAAGAACATTTCCTCTCATGGAACTACAGCTCCCAGGGGTCCCTAAGAGGATTATAGTATTATTATAAAGTAGTTTGTATATGTTATATAGGGAAATCTTCAATGTTTCTTTTCTAAAACCCAGAAATGTAACAGAATGTATAAACTGGGAAAATTGTAAAAATAACATTTCTAATGCCAAGACTCTCCACTTGAAAATGTTAAGACATAATAATGAAGAGTGGTCCTCTTCCAAGTATTTGTGGAATGCTTTTTCTCTACCTCAAAGTGCTCACACCTGGCAGGGCTACCAGGCCAGAGTGTGGCTTTGAGACATTATTGAACCCGAATCTCTCTCATTTCTTGACTCTTAAAGTCTTAGCAGCTTCCTTTTTTAGCCAAACTAAAGCCCTCTCAGTCTTTATCTATGCTTCACCCATTCATTTACACACAAGCCTACTTTCTTCACTCTTACCTTAAAATGACAGATGTAAACCCTTCCTCCTGTAACACCATCATAGTACATGGGGGCTCCAACCAGAATCAAGTCTGTGTTTGTGTCTTGATCCAGGTCCACTGAGCATATTGTTGCTCCAAAATAGGAACCGACCTGTTGCATCAAACAATTAAAAACAGGTCTGGTTCTCTGTGATGAACTCTTGTGCTGCATGTTTTGAATCTCGTTTATATACTTTTTGCATACTTTTAAGCTGGACTGATCCAGTGTGGGTTCTTGGACTCTCCAAGCTGGGAGGATTACAGGCATCCTATGCAGAGCAGTGCAGTAAGGAAGTGCAGGTTGCCTCTGTACGCCTTGCCATCTGCAAAGTGGTGAGGTGGCCAGGGCCAAGGGAGAAAGGAATCGGAGGTACCACCAGGATATATCATATCTTTGTGGCACTTGGCTCCTCCCCTCCCTCTTCCTCTCTCCAAGGTTGCTCCTCTAACCTTGGAGACACAACCAGCACAGGTGTTTCCGTGCCATCCTCAAAGGGGACTGGAGTCACAGTTCCCAAGTCAGAGCTGTTTTCTCAAATGATCAGAGGGCGGTATCTCTTACATCTGTGGGACAACTAGTTCATAAATCTTGTGATCTCTATAGCCTCTATAGTTTCACATTTTGCCCATGAGGCATTTAACCTGGTGCTTTACTGTGACTTCCTCTGTTTTCTTTGCGGGAGGATAGGAGTATCCTTCACAGAAGGACTCTTTCCAGCAGTTTTCCTTGCTGCCTTTCTGTATGTTTCATCATGCAACACAAGGGGGTGCTGTGGTATGGACTGCAATGCCAAAACTACACTAGGCTTCTATAGTGAATCATGACACCATCAGGGAAAATACCAGACTTGCTTTGCTCAAAAAACCCCATGCGAATAGCTGTAAAATTCCGGCGAAATGTTATTATGAAAAGCCCTGCAAATGTTCACAAGTGAGGGATCACAAGCACATGTGCAAAGAAATCCTGAGAGGTTGGCTTTCTGTGAATCCCGCATTTCCACCTGTGGCTACCTGCCCCTGGTCCATACCTGCTCCCCAACAGCCTCCATTTCCCACAGCCATTCTCCACTCTGGGCATATCTCTCGAAGAGAACAACTTTGCCAACATAGTTGTAGCGGGGGGCTCCCAATACAAGGCCTCTTCTCCCATTGAGCTGGACAGTCTGAGAAGAATAGCCTATAGGGAGGAGAAAAGGGTGAGAAGATCTGAAAGTAGCATCTGAGGATAGCCAGTATTTAGAACTGCTCAGTAGGACTGATTTAGAAGGCTGCGGTCTAAATGCAGAGTACTCCCTGAAAGAGAAATTTCAGTTTCTCCTAGGAACTGAGGTTTTCAGACCTCTAGTTGCTAAAATTATTGGTACTTATTATTACATTTTTATCTTGGCCTTTATCCAAGGATCACACAGTAGCAAAGTCAGCTTCGTGCAATTTACCCCTCACAACCTTTTGAGGCAGGCTATGTTGAAAGATGGTGGCTGGCCTACAGTCACTTGGTAATCTTCAGGGATGAGCAGAGTTTTGAACCCAAGCCCCCTGGTCCTTATCCAACACTGGCTCCCAGTCTAGCTAGTAGGTCCTTTACAGATTTTGCATACAACAAATCTCTTTCGCTGCCCAAATCATGATGCAGGAAACAGGCCATGGCTCAGTGACAGAGCATGCGCTTTTCATGCAGAAGGTCTTCTAAGTTCACTCCTTGGCATCTCCAGCTAAAAGTATCCCGGAGCAAGTGATGGGAATGGCCTGACCTGGTACAGTTGCTTCTTATATTCAAGCGGGGCAGAGGGAGAAAGAGGGCAAATGGAAGAGGAAACATGTTAATGTCTGTGAAAATCCCTTCACTGGCAGGGGAGTGGAGAGGCCCAGAATTGCGGCTGCCTCAAGGGCAGAAAGGCATAGTGGCAGAAGATGGTGCTGGGGCAGAGGAATGTTTGGAATGATTACTTACCAAGATAGATATTGTTCACATCCTCTGCAGTGCTAGAGACATTAATAAAGAGGGAGTTTCTCTTGTTGTTTTGATATAGAAACACCCCTCCAGACCAGTCATAGGCTCCCACAGCTCCTAAGAAAGTTTCTTCCTAAGTCATGGCACAAGGCAGAACAGGGAAGCCCCAAAGCAACACCAACAGGAAAATGAAAATAAAAGGAGGCAAAAAGAAACAATTAAAAATGGAAGGTACGATTGATGACTTGCAACATTGCACCCTCTGCAGTTGCAGTTAAACATTCTAATGCATTCCTAAATTTTGGCCTTTTTTTTGGTTGGTTTTGAGATCTGACAGTTATATTCAGAGCAGCATACATTGTATAACTGCTCAGTTGTCATTTCTTAATTTTCTGCACTTTTAAACACTCAATAAAGTTCTACGGGTCATGTACAATACATTAAAAACATAAAATATGAATATTTTAAAATTTCAATACTAACAGCAAATATAAAAACCAAGTTTGGAGTTTGTTAATATATTTTATTTGTACTAACCTTTCTACTAAGGCAACTTACAGGACCAATTAAAATTTACCATAACAATATATTAAAATACAATAAAAACATAACAATTACAGAAAAAATTAATAACATGCACCTACAGACTAAAGTCCTTACTGTATAAAGCAGTTTTTGCTTGCCAAAAGAAGGATAAAGAGAGGGGCAAACCAAACTTCCACGGGGGGGGGGGGTGTTCTACAGCTTGAGAGGGCCCAAAAATATTCTCCCCCAGATAGCTACAAAACTTTCTTCTGATGGTGGCTCTCTCAAAAGAAAGGCCTCCCTCTGGGTTGGTTTTTTTAACCATTTCCTGGCTCTTTCTTTATATGCTGGCCTGCTTCCAAGATGGTGGCATGCCAAAAATTCCCAAGCAGACCTTCATTCAGCTACCCACTGACTGAGGCCTGCTTAGCCCCAGCAAGTTTGCTGCATCATGAATCCTAAGGTCATAATTTGATCTTATGGGAAAGTTTAGAAATGCTTCTCATGCCCTTTACCTCGCTCCATTATCTCTGATGTTCTCTTCCTTGGAATGCACATTAAAATGTATGAAAAGAACGTACCACAGCATCAGAAATATGCAGACCTTAACAAATCCATGTCTGTACACTTCACTTACATCATTCTGATCACATATAATTAAGGAATTTCCCAGATTTGAAACGTAATACATGGACTTTTCACAAGCTCTGGGACTTGAGTGACTTACTGGAGTCAGCAGGGCACTGAATCCTTCCTGGGACATTTCCAGCTGGAAGGAACTGCTCCTCTGGAATTGTGTACCTGTAGCGAGGAGTGGGGAGAGGTCGTAGGAAAACAGGAAGAGTCCATAAAGGTTACAGTAAATTCGCCTCTTTATCCTTGGTTGCTATTCTAGCCTGAGTGTGTTTGAAGCCTAATGCAGGGGTTGAGTCAGGCTTTGCCAATGTTTAGAACCAAAGCTTGCTTAAATTGGTACGCTCTGCCCCAAATCATATGAGATAATAAAGAGGGCGCATATCAACAAGTGGGTTCGGAACAGTCAATAGCTGAAGCTCTCAAACAGGATTTACTGTTATGCTTGCCTGTTCTTTCAATCACCTACTGCTGAGACTGAGTAATTGTACTATGTCCCTGCTTTAGGCCAGACCAGATCATGCACCTGCATTCTAGGCACAGACACAGCAGAATGACCCGCTTTTTTACCTGTTACAGCTCTGCATGAGTCACTGCCCAGGGCTGCCCCTAAATGGTGCCTAGGTCAGCAACATGCAGGGCAGTTTTGCATGCCATATTAAGCTACCCTGTGAATAGGCCACCATGGGTTCCTTGTTCCCTCCCACCAGCTCTGACATGTATCTCAGGTGTCTTTGCAGAACTCAGTCCCTATATCAGCATCCTTTCTGCTGTTGTTTCACTGGAGTTCCTGGCCCCTAAGGAAAACCCCTCAACTGTCAAATTGAATTAATATTCTGAGCCTTTATGGATGCGGTAACTTCAGTGAGCAGGATATTTGCCACTTGCTCAAAAGCACATGTGCAGTAGCTAGCCAAGCACGCTCCTAGCCCTTATTTGTCAATGTCCTTGTCACAAGCATTTTAGTGCTTCCCTTGCTAGCGAACACCTCTTTTTTAAAGGTTGCACGATGCTACCTTAAAGTAAGAATTGTTGTTGTTAGTCGCGAAGTCGTGCCCAACCCGTCGCAACCCCATGAACAGCACTCCTCCAGACCTTCCTGTCCTCCACCATCTCCCGGAGTCCACTTAAGCGCACGCCGACTGCTTCAGTGACTCCATCTAGCCACATCATTCTCTGCCGTCCCCTTCCCCTTTTGCCATCTATTGTACCCACCCACAAAGCCCCTTCTCTCCTGCAGTCATCAGCCACTTTCTGCAGGCTCCCTACATCAGGTCACAAAAAGAAAATAATTTCCCAAACCCTTACAAACATGATAATGTGCTTGCAAACTTTTAAAAAGTATTTTATTTTGTGAGGCTTGCAAAAGAGCACATCACTGTTTCCTTGATATTTAGCCATGCATTCCAAAATTTCCCTCCTGTCAGTGCCCTCCACTTTGATGCATCACTTGCCAGCAAACACCCTTTTTTAAAAAATGTTGTAGCTCATACGCTTTATGTATGCATAAACGTACTTCATGTTGAAGTAAGAGCACCCTCCCGCTAAATTACCTTTTTTCCTGAAAATATCATCTGCTTTCAGTTCCTCACCCCACATTTAATTCTTACTGCATATCTCCACTGCTCCCCATTGCCAACTGACAATGGGTTACAGAGCAATGAGAGGGATTGCTAAAATGTTATGATAAAATATTAATATAGAGGAGGAAATCGCTAACGTCTCATGTAAAGTAATAACATGAAGAAAATTGTACAATTCTCATAGCAGAGCAGTAAAATGGAAGTGAAAATTACTCAAATTTCTAGACAGAGCAGTAAAACAGAGTGGGAATGTATGCAAATTTCCTAGGGGACATTAAAATTAAAAGTTGCAGAAGTGTCCAGGACATTCTTCCATGCCCTTTGTTCTTAATGTTTAGGACCATGGAACCGGCAGTGGATGAAGGACAATGAGGGTGCACCTAGTGAGACTGCAAGGAGAGGCCAGGGGATTCCCCACTCTTGGCAGGCAGCTGTATAGCTGTTCCCAGCCACCCACAATGAAGTTGCTCTGTTTGGTCTGGATGAATCAACAAAGACCATGCGTATAAACACCCTAAAACAAGCCATGTGTTTGCAGAGTGGCTCACTCAAGAAAAATAAACCATACCAGCTTTGCACAATATAAAAACCCACCGTTGCTGATTAGCCATGGTGGCTTGTTACGTTATGCAAACCTGGTCTAAAAGTTATAACTTTCCTAATGTAAAAGTGCTCAAAATCTTTTCTAGTGTGAAATATTCCTCCAAATTCAGTTCAGGAAAACCTTATGCCGCAGTGAGTGGGAAAGAGAGAGAAGGAATAACAAAAAAGAAAGTTGATGTGGTTGCATTTCGTTGAGCCCTGGTAGTACCTTCAATGGAAAAAATTCTGTCCTGCAGCTGGTTCTGGATACCTCTGAGGGCATCAAAATTGTCCACTTTGAAAATATGCTCGTCTTTAGGCTCAGAGGCAATGTCTCTCAGTTCCTGCTTGGCACTGGTGGTTGAAAAAGCACCTCCAACCTTCATGGGATGAAAAAGAGAATGAAATGACAGCATAAACTACAGCAAGTAGATCCTATGACATTCAAGCAAGTGACATGCCAAACAGAAATTGTACTTAGCAGTGAATGTGATACAACTTCCATATACTTAGACGTTGCTTCTGTATATCCTGAAGTGCCTGATCCTGCCAAATCTTGGAAACTAAGCAGGGTCAGGCCTGGTTGAAATCTGGGTCAGGGTCAGGCCTGGCTGAAGTCTGGAAAGGTGTCTTAAATGTTGTGAAACGCCCAGAGAGCTTTGTCTATGGGCAGTATAGAAATGTCATGCAAAAATTATAACGACACCTATGACGTGCTATGTTGCCCTCAAACAAGCCACCCTGTGAGAATCAATCCAGGCTCTCACAACATGACAATCCATTGTGGGTGCCATGCCCTATAAATTGTTGCTCATACTTTTAAAATAAAAAAGCATGCTTCAACTAGCAACATTTATTTAGGTGCGAAAGAAAAGAATCAGGGGAGGGTGGGGTAGTCTGAATTAGCCCCCTGTACTAGTTTCCTGCTGAAAACTTTATTGATGCTGCTTGCTGCTGAAGGTGGAGGTGGCAAGAAACAATATTTTCAAAAGAAGACGGCTGTGGCAGGGGTCCTGGCTGCATGTTTTTCAAAATAAAAATGGCCATTTAATGAAGACTTTCTAAAAGCTTGTGACCTGTACACTTATCTTCAACTATGCACAGGAGATTTGGAGTTCCCAGAGCTGAGTGACAGACTCTAGTTCTCAAAATGACCTGCTGGCTGTGTGTACACAGACACACAGAGACCCTATCCAAGCAAGCAGGCTGCTCCCAAAGGGGATTTATGTCTCAGAGATGGAGGTGACCAGATTCATTGAACAAATCAACATAATGCTCTTTGCAGGGACTCAGTGCAATTTTCTCACCCCAATAGCATAGCGGATGATTTCAGCCTTCTGGGCCAATGGTATCACATGGCGGTATGGGAGGTCATCCGTCTTCTTCCCATCTGTTATCACAATAAGAATCTTGGTGGCCCCATCTCGGGAGCCTTTATAAGAAGTGAACAGTTCATTCCTTGCGAATAGAGAAGGGTGCAGGGAAAGATGGTGAATTGATTGCTGGAACATGCACTAAGGATCTTAGGAAACAGAGAGAGGGGGAGAGAATGGGCAGGTTCATACTTCAGGACAACTGACTCTGAGAATAAGCTCCGCAGGCAAGGTTGTTGGTGAAACAACTCAGAGTTCACCCAGCTGACAATCTGACTAACTGTAGGTTGCCCCAGCTCCTTCCTCCTCAGTTGTCCTGCAGGTATCCCAGGGGACTGTGTGGTAGGGCCCATCTTGACTGCCCTTCCTGCCATTATTGTGACTGCTTTTGTTCTTCCTGCAGTTTTTTCACTCCACGCTTTTTCCCAGACAGCCACACTGAGAGCCCATGGAAGACCTTCCAAAGTGCCCAAGTGGCACTTCAGATGTGCTGTCAAGGAGTCAACTTTTTTTAGCATCAGAAATGTGTGCGATATATATATATATATATATATATATATATATATATATATAAATATAAATATAAATATAAATATAAGTATTTCAGTCAGATTTGCACATGTCAGGAATGAAAAATCTCTTGTGAGCAATGTCCTTGGGGTATCTGCTATCAAAGTACAGGAGACACCCACCAAAGGCATTGACACAGAGAGGATACAAAGCAGTTTATTTTTACATTTTTCCTTCTCTTGACAACTATCAAAAGGCAAGCTGTCCACCCCACTCCCCAAGTCACTGATGTTTGCCTACAAAAGGGGTTGGCCAGAATATTACGCCCTTTATCCACTAGTGGATCCTCTAGTGCAGGGGTCCTCAAACTTTTTCAATAGGGGTCCAGGTGAAACGCGACGGCGACCCACGCGAGCTGGTGAGGCGGGGGTGCCTGGGCACGCAGGCTGGTGAGGCGACATCGCTCGCTTGGAGATCTCCCAGCGAGTCCAAAACCATCTCTGAGTGAGCAAGCCACCGCCTACCCTTGCGCGTGGCAAGCAGCAGTGCAGGCCAGATAAGAGGGCATGGCGGGCCGGATCCATCTTGCGGGCCGTAGTTTGAGGACCCATGCTCCAGTGTTTTGTTTGTTTGCTTGAACCTAATTCTTGTCAGATTCTTATCCACCTGATTTTTGTCTATCCTTTCCTAAAATTATAACTGCTTGAGAAAATAGAAGCCACCCCCTTTACAAGAGCACAGAACTGTGACAGCTAGCTGTGAAAACTCTGTTTTCTGTCACGGGTTTCTTATTCAGGGTTTTTTGACAGAGACAAATGCAAGCATAAATGCAAGTTTGTCCAAAAAAAAGTTTGAAAAAATGTGCATGCTTCTTGCATTTTTAAGGGGCAATGACCACTAACAGCCATTTCAATGTGCCTCTTGAGTGGCTATCACTAGCTGTCAACTCAGAGACTACAAAAGCTATTTTTTGAGAAAAAGGAGAAGGGGGAAAGCAAAATGATCATGAACCAGTGATGGCCACTCCATTATACCACATAGGCACTGGTGGGGCAGCTGGCACTGGTCCAGGATAGTTTGGCAAGAGAGGCAAAGTGTTTTTGCCGCCCTGCACAATTGATTCACTAACTGATTCCTGCAACTCACAATGGGATTGTCTGATTTGGATGATATGACCACTCATTTTAGGTCTAGCAAGCTACAGTTTATCAGAGTGGCTTGTTGTCCTCAAACTAGTCACTCCAGGTTCACACAGCAGGGCAACTCGCTTTTCATCAAGAATGGGTTGCTGTGACATTGAGCAAACCCAGCCAAAGATTGAGACGAGTTCACAAGGAGTGAAGAGAAGGTCAAGGCTGTTTCAGAGGGATAATGGCTTTGAGGAACATACACAACTTTCTTGATGGCTGTGGCTGTGTGGGTCCATCCATGTATCTGGTGAATGTCCATTACCCGGTGTGCTGGATCATTACTGTTGAAATTAAAATGTTCCATGAATTTGTCTGAAAACTGCATGAGGGCAAACTGAGAGAAAAAAGAAAAGGGTGTTAGTGGGTATGTGTCATGTATGGTCCAGTTCAAGAGCAGGACAATTTGGTAGGAGCATAGGTTATCTTTTGGAACAGACTTCCACTAAAATCATCAGCCCCAGCAGAACAGCTCTTCTAGAACCAAAACAAAGCACCCATGCCAAGTCAAAACTTTGCAAATATTTCCAAAGTTAACATCCAAAATGTCTAATTTAGATTAAAAAGAAAAAACTTGGATAGTGGAGCACTTTACAAAAAAATATTGAGCATTCTTGACAGCTTAAAGAAAAACCCATATGAACTTCATGTTCAGTACTTCACATATTGCCATTCCAAAACATGTATTTCTAAAGCAATTTTAATTAGGACAATATTAATTCAAGATTTTTGCAAGCATATTTGTCTTACAAAAATGTTCTGGTGTTTCTTTCTCAAATTCACTTAAATCATAAAAAGGCTATAGAAAAACAGATTCATATAGATCAGACTGGATTTATTCCAAAAAGATTTATGAAAGATAATGTTCATTTTATGATTGACACAACTGAATTGGTCAAGAAGAGGAAAGCATTTATCTTTCTAGATGCAAAAAAGGCTTTTGATAATGTGTCTTGGCCCTTCAAGCTTTATGAATTGGATTCAAGCAATTTACACTAAATGACATGCTAAGATTTTAATTAATGGAGTATTAACTGACAGCTCTTGAATGGAGAAGGGACCATGCCAAGGGTGCCCTTTATTGTCTCTTTTATTTATTCTTCTACTGCAAATTTTAGCAATAAAGACTCAAAAATTAAAGGCTTAAAAGTAGATGGAGAAGAATATAAAATGTAATGATATGCTGATGATATAGACCTGAAATTTCTAAATCCACATCAGTCCATTCAGTGTATAATAGATCAACCTTGAAGAATTTGGACTTTATTCAGGCTACAAAATTAATAAGAAGAAAATGACATTTATATTAAAGTTTGCAACAAAACAGAAAGAGGAAAGTATAACTTACTTTATACTATAGTACTGAAATTAAATCCTGCAAATATCTAGGAATTGTCTTCCACGCTACATAAATATCATGTCAGCTACAGTTTTTATATGCACAAAAAACAGTGTCGGCTTTCAAAACTTTTATTTCTCTAAAGGAGCACAGCATATACCGCAGCAATGAAAGTCTTCTCAGCTAAGATTCAAGCCCAGCTCCTTTTGGAGCTCAGCTGGGACCCTACAGGTCATTTCTTCCCTTGGAAAGAGGTCACTCCAAGTTCTTGAGAACCATCTTTCAAGCACCTCACTGTGTGCCAAGTACGGTCCTTCAACATAAAGCTGGCCTTCTTAAGATTCAAACTTCAGCCTGGGTTTACATCTTTTCCTACTGGCTCTATCTCTCCTTTCAAGTTGGTTTGGTCTCTTTAATCATGCCCGACAGTTTCCAGAGCTCCTGGAGCCAGGAATTACAGGCCAAATTGCAATTATATGGTTATTCATGGCCAGCTATCACCTTGATGGGCTATGAACATGCATTGGTAGAACTTAACAGTGGGCAATGTGGGTCATGATTTAGAGCTACAAGCAGATTGTCCTACTCTATCCAGAAACACCTCTTGAACTATTTGGCTTATCTTCTCCAACCAGCCAGATATCTCTACCACATAAAAGATTCCAAAATTTAGAAGGGCTTTATCCTTCTAAATGCCCTCCCAACAGCTGTTACCAGAGGGAGATATCAAAAAAATCTCCCTTAAAAAGAGACTGTGCCCATGTGGGGCAGAAATAATTGAATCGTTGGAGTATGTTATTCTTTATGGCCCTCTCTATGCAGGTGCTCACCATAATTGTTATTCCCACTCTTTTCTAAATATCCTGGTCATTCCAATGTATTTTTTCTTAGGATGCTTTTATCAGATCAATCCAATGTTATATCTCTGATCACAGCCAAATACTGTTCCATAGTTTGTACAGTCTAGAGTAGGATTAATTCTACCCACTGTTAGATTTTTGAGGATAACTGTATTTTTTCCTTATCTTAATTAACTGTAATTTTAACATAACTGTATTTTCCTTATTTTGACTGTCATTTTTTGTTTTTTGCAGGTTAATGGCCAAATAAAGAATTGGTTGAGGAAAGTATAAAAAGGATTTCAGGATGTGAAATAACTTCAAACCCAGTCAAATATTTAGGGTTAGGGTCAGATGATACCAATATCTATACTAGGAAAAACTCTTCAAGAGAGGCAAAGACATCTGAATGCTTTTATTTGGAATTGCAAAAAGACGAGGATTAGATTCAAAATCCTTCAAGATGAAAAGGAGAGAGAAGGTCTCACAGGGTCTAATTTAAAGCTATACTATTAGACAGTTCACCTGGTTTGGATTTCAGATTGGATTATAAATGTTAATAATAGGCTAGTGAAGTTAGAAATAGAAGAAAGAATGCACAATCACTTATGGGCCAACGAGTTGGTTAGAAATGCCTTGACAGCAAATAATAATCATGCATTAAGAGATGGCCTAATAAAAATGTGATATTCTATAAGAAAAAGAATGATGTCCCCCGTTGAAGCATATGGAATGTACTTAAGGAAGAATAATGACTTTATAACCTATGGGGATACGATTGACCAACAAGAATGACTTAAATCTTGGCAACACCTAAAAGATGGAGGGGAAAATATACAATGACTTGTTTATTATCAACTGCTTTCAAGACCAAAAGGGGAAATACAATTAGGGGATGGCACTGTAAGACAGAGGTTTTCAACCACTGGTCTGCGGACTGGTGCTGGTTCATGGGAGACTTTCTGCTGGTCTGTGGGGGGGTGCATCCCACTCACCACAGATTGGCACAGGGACAACCTGTGCTCCCCCACCTCTTCCTCAGTTGGCATTGCATTCATGGGGGGTGCACTGGTGCCACCAGGGGGCCAGGGAGGGGAGATACAGCTTGGTGGGAGCCAGCCGGGAGCCACACTGCACTGATTTCAGTATTTTGTTCTTTTGTTGGCATTTTTTGTTGCTGGGTTTCTGTTTTGAGAATTTTCTGTTGCTGTTTTGAAGAATTTTCTTTCTTTCTTTTTTTTGGTATTGTGTTTGGAAACTAATGCACAGAATACTGTATTATGTGTATGGTGCTTTTGTTTCTGCCTCAGGGGTCCCTGAGGTGGTTTTCTGGTTTTCACCGGTCCCCAGCTGTGGAAAGGTTGAAAACCAGTGCCATAAGAGACCTGATGAATTTTGAAAAGCTGATTGCACAACAAAATGATCATCTATTAGGAATACCTTATAAGCAGTTACTTCAATATGACACTGAAAATCAGCAAGGTAGGAAATGGATGACAATTTGGATGCAGAATCTCAAAAAAGAAATAGCTTGTCAATGGGAAACTTTATTAAACATTCAATTCTTAGCTAGTCAAGCACTATGAGAATATTGGTATAATATGCTTTTTGGTGGTATATTACCCCAAAAGATAAAGAAAAAATAGATAAGAAGTACAATGGAAAATGCTGGAAATGCAATAAAATAGATGGGACTTTCGACCATATGTGGTGGACTTGTAAAATAATTAAAAGATTTTGGAAATTGATATACACGGAAATTCAGAAAACCTTTAAAACTAAGTTTTCTGTGAGTCCTAAGACTATGCCTTTGAACATAATGCCATAGGCTTTTTCAAAGAACATGTCAAAGTTATTCAAATATATGACAACTGCAGCAAGAATTATAATTGCTTCTAAATAGGAAACACCAGAATGCCCAGCATTTGAAGACTGGAAGAACAAATTGGCGGTGTGTGCAGTGGTTGCAAAATTAACTAATGATGTAAACAGAAGACCAATTGAAGAATGTAATGATAAATGGAAATTCTATTATATCCAGTATAATTAATAAGATGTAAAAGGAAGCTCATTAAAATATTGCCTATGATTTACAATTGATTTGTAGTGATTGGGAAATTTGTCAATATAGAGAACTATAGTAATTCTTTCTTTGAGCTTCAACAGAGTATTGATTGACAGAAAGATAGAAAATGGTAATTTCTTTGGAAATGTGCAGATTACGAATGCAATGGTTATACTTGTTTAAAATCCCTTGGCAATTCTTTCACTTTTTTTCTTATAGCCTTCTTTTTTCAGGATCTTATCTATTTTAAGAAAACAATAATAAAAAATTAAAAATCTTAACAAAGGGCCAGTATACACATTGCTAGTTGTGGAAATACACTATAGGGTCAGTTGCCTTGGAGCATTCTGGGATTTGTAGATCTTTTTCTGCCTAGATATGCATAGGGTGACATCCTTAGTGTGCGTACATACGGTGATTTACATGCAAGAGCATCACACATGACAGGAACGTAGGAAACTGCCATGTACTACATCAGGCTTGTTCCATCTTGTCTAGTATTTTCTATTCTGGCTGAACCTTCAGGGGGCCAAAATTGCAGCTGGTCTCATCCCTGCTATCCGATCACTTGTAACTGGAGATGTTAGGCATTGAATCTCTCCTCTGCCACTGAACTGTCGCTCTTCACCCATTATGGCATCAGCTGCCCCAGCCTTGTTCCTCCAGATGGTTGGACTTCAAGTCCTATTAGTTTCAGTGAGCATGGACAAAGGAAGTCTAGGATCTGTAGCCCAAAATCATCTAGGAGGCACCACATTGATGAAGCCCGCGCTACATAGATGCAACAGGCATGCAATTGCCTACATAGAACAGACATATCTAGGATATCATAAAAGCACGAAACAGCACTTACTTCTCTTTCAGTCTGCATTTTACAATTGACAGAGGGATCGTTTAGATGACATTCCAAGGAGTGGGTGAAAATTCATTTATTCTGTTTTTTAAATAAGTAACTAACAAATTTTTCCATCCCCCCTAAAGGCTGCCAGTCCCTAGGGAGGTTCTGCACACAGAGGGCTGGAACCAAATTCATCTGGTTGCACTTTCACTCCCACTGAAATCAGCGGTGCTTCCATTAGTTGTGACTAGCATTTCACACTAGACAGAACAAGTCTGACCTGGTTTAAGGTAGCATTCTAGGCTCCTGTCATGTGATAGTCCTTCATGTATGTAAATCACTGCAGCCATCTCCATTAAGAAACTATAACTCAGAAACATTTTAATGTAGCCACTCCTTAATGGATACATTGCCAAACTGCTGGTTCGCATTGCCTGCATGCACAATGTAAAGAACAAGCAGTGTCCAAATACAACTTTGCAGTGCAGTGCATGCCAGTGTCGCATCTATACAGCTATGGCTTCCACAGAGCCCATCCAGAAGTGTGGAAGGCATCCTGGAGGAAGGCAGGGACCAGGAGCATAGGTTGTATACCATAACCGAAAAAGGATACAAAGCTGCCCAAGACCATCACAGGACTGGGTAAAGCTTACTTGTAGTACGGCACTACCCAAGTATTCATTACCCGTGTGTTTCTCCCAGATAGTCTTCTGATGCTCTCAGAAACAAAAAGCTTCATTTTGTTAAAGTCCTGTGTATTGATGCTACCTGAGCCATCAATCAAGAATGCAATGTCCGTCGGATAAGCAGAACATTCTGGGATAGATGAAAGGAGATAAAGGGAGTACCCATTTGTAAGTTGCCTCCTTTTATAATAAGATACTGGATCATTGGAAGAGGATTAAAGACGACATTATACCAATGTATATCAGGCCCTGAATAAATGATTATATTTATATACCACCCAACTGATAAATGCCCTTAGACAATTTACATTAATAAAAATTACAAACAATAAAATACCAACCAAAGTAATAACTACAAAAATGAATGTATCAAAATAATGAAATATTAGGACCTTAAACAAATTAAAAACATTAAAGGGCCTACAGAGTTAAAAAGCAAAGCCCTACTAAATCCTAGAAAGCCCTACTGTTTTTTGCAGAACCAAATTTCATATAGGGGTCTCCTGCCTTCCTTTCTGTCTGACCTGCCTTTGTAGCCCCAAGGTCTTACCTGACAAAGTCTCTGGAAAACGTTGGACCTGTTGGAAATGCTGGTTCAGAAGGAAGCAGTAGCCATTCACATACATATTTTTTCCACAGGCTCGGTGCACTGTGGGGCCACATACCTGAACAGAAAACGGAGAGGAAGGGTCGCCGTAAGCAAGGGCAGCACTGGTGAAAAAATGTGGGCTCCGAAGGAGAGCCCAGGCGTTTTGCTAAGGCTCTTTGCACAGCGGCAAGTGGCATGTGTCTCCCCAGCCTCAGTCAAGGTGCATAATACCCAGACAATTTGGCACTCGAGGCAGAAAACAGTACTTCTTCCGGGCAGCAAACATACCGTAACCCTTCATGACATTTTTCCCATGTCTTGTATAGCATTAGATAACACTGGCTTTCCTTATGCTTTGCTTTTAAACATCATGTTTTAAATAGCAATTACTTTGTTTTGTTATTGCTAGCCAGCATGAAATTATTCATCTTTAGGGTAGGGTATACATTTTTAAATATTTTCTTAAGCAACTGTGAGCCCCCCAGAGAGCCTCCGGCTATGAGGCAGCATACAGATGCGATCGACAGACAAACAGACAAAATAAAGCATGTATGCCTACCAAGACCTGAGAATTCTGGGTAGCCAAGGACAAACCAAGGGACATATTAACCGCATCTACGGGTCCTGAAAAGAGTAAGAAATACACATGAAGTTATATAATAATAAGCAGAGCTGGTGTTAAGGATAGACAAACCTGAGTTTCTGGTGGGGATCCACATTCCAACAGGGGCCCCTTGGCAAAAGCCAGCTGAATTTGCAGCCTGCTTGCTCACCAGCCTCTTACTCTGGCCCAGGATAGGGGCTGCTGAGAAGCAAGAGAGGCAGGCAGCATTGTCTGCTTGCTCACTGGCTCTCACACAATGGGTGAGCGCATGAGAAGAAAAAGCAGCTGGTGATAGTGGTGATGAGCAGGTGGATTCACTGAAGGAAGGAGTCTATTGGGAGGTGCTTTGCCTTGACCTCAGTGGACACTTGGAGCTCCAGGGAACAAATCCATTGCCCTGGAATAGTCAGGACTGGGCCCAAGCCTAACAACCCTCTTCTTGAAGAAATAGGGGAGATATGAAAAAGGAGAAGTGGCAAGCTCAGTTCCCCAAAAGTTTGGAAGAGTTGAGTGGTCTATGGTCTATCTGTGATATTTTCTTCTGCTGCTTTTTTTTTTTTTTTTTTTTTTTGAGATCTGAAAGTGTAAACAGTCTAATGATGGGAGAAATGAGTTGGATTCAGAATTCCTGAGCTGATTTAGGTGGTACAATCTGGGGGGAAAGGGGTTTTTGTAAGTATACATTATGTTGTCATGCATCAAGTAATACCTACGTTGGATATGAATGTTTGAACAAGCGCCAGAAGGATACTGACAACGGTAGAGTTGACCGGTTTCATTCACTCGTCCTATCTGGAGAGGGGCCCCAACCAACACCCTGGTGGGCAAAGAAGAAACAGATTATTAAAATCTCTATTATATTGTGTTCATCAACACTCTTGGTGCTTTACAAAGCAATCTAAGCAAACAAAGGGAACAGAGGGAAGGGAGAGGCTGGAAAAACAAATACTAAATTGAGCCAATATAATTACTTTAAATTTCAGCTTTATTTAAGCTGTACAGAAATCCTATGGCTTTACAAAAATATAACTTTGGGGAAGAAAATATTCTGGAATGAAGGACAATACCCTAGAATTAGGAAAGTGAAAGCAAGATTATTCAGTTGAGAGTCATAAATTTAGGCCTCTGGGGATGGTAGAAGAACGAATAAAGGTGACAGGCAGAGAAGAAATAAGATCAGAAACTCATGGTTGAGTCAGGCCACCAAGAGCTTAGTGCTGGATGAGAAAGGGCAATCCAGAAGGGCGCATCCAGGACCTTGCTATATTTTGCCCTGCTTCCCCCTCCTCGCAACCCTGACCCCAAGTCAACTTCCTCTTACGTATTCTTGGTCTGTGCCACGCTCGCCCCAAAGCTCTGAACTGGCCCATGGAAAATAGTTGGTGCGCCCACGTCCACGCTGAATCCAGAGCACCACGGCACCAACACTGCAGGAGACAAATGAACTTTCAGGGCTGATCATGGCTCTCACATGCCTCATACACAAGAAGGCACATTTGCATGTTTGTACCAACACACACCAAGTTAATTGATTCCTAGTTCTACCACTGTTGCTCAGGTTCAGATATTTTCAGGGCTTTTTTTGTCATAGAACACACCAGAACGGTGTTCCAGCACCTTTTTTCGACGGATTTTTCCACATGAATTTGAATTGCCCTGTTGGGCGTAGCAGGTTGGGGGCAAAATCATTAAAATGGTGCATGCGGGCTGCTTGTGTGTCCGCGCTGGTTGTGATGGCACTGCTCGGCTTGTGATTGGTTATGTGGTTGCGCACTGAGTGCTTACTGCGGGTGGCAACCATTATGTGTCATTACACAGTGTTAGTGTGTGTACAGTGACTGGCTACGTGCAAAAGGTAAATAATTATTTTAAAAAAATGTTGGTGAATTGAAAAATCTTTAATTTTTAGTGTAAAAGTGTGACCCCAAATTTAAAAATGAAAAACATTACTAATTCTCAACCACCGGTCCTGCTAACAAAAAGTCCAGAATATTAAGAACTGAATATATAATTGTTTTAATAAAAGATTAACAAGATGTGAGTTCCGGCACCTTTTTTTTTTTTTTTTTTTACAAAAAAAGCACTGGATATTTTATTGTAAAATTGCAACATAAGAAAAAGAAGACATGAAGAAAAGTAGCTACGTAAGTTTGCATAAATCAGCTTCAATGGATACAGATCAAATAGCTAGTATAGTGGCTAGAATGTTGGACTGGTATCTGGGAGATCCAGGCTTTAGCGCTCAACTGGGTGACTTCAGGTCAGTCACTGACTCTCAGGATAACTGTGAGAATGAGACTGAAAAGAAGAGGAGGATTAAGTGAGTGACCTTGACTTTCTGGAAGGAAATTTGGTGGGCTATAAATATTATAAAAAAGCATTGTGTGTGTGTGTGTGTGTGTGTGTGTGAAAATACAAGTGTTTCTGCTCATTTCAGATTGCCTGCCTTGGCAGAAGTGGTGGAGGCATTTGTACAACAGAAGTGGTGAGTTGCAACACAACTGGCAGGGATTCTCTCCTAGGAACTACACATAATTGTCTCCAAGAGCAAACCAATAACCAAATGCTGATAGTATCCATGCACTACCCATTCAAAAGTTCAAAGCGTTGCACGTTCTTTGATCCACTGCATTATAGAAGGTGAGTATTTATCCTTCTAATGCTGTGATATCAGTCTTTTAGCTATCAGAAGGGCACTGACCATGTGTTAATTTCCAAGAGGCAGGTACATTATTTTAAAAGAGCATGTACATCGGTAAATATTAAGGAATGTTCCTATGCAAAATTTATCCATATATTGACCTCCAAGAATAATCAACATCTGTGTGTTCCAAAAAATGTAGGCTTAAAAGAAGGATTAGCTATATTATACCACCAATAATTAGCCAACTTAGACAAATGTCTCTTATTTCACAGGCATTGTCACATCCAACAGGCACAAAACAAAATTGTTTGCTGAGTAAGATGCAACTTGTGATTCGAATGCCAAAGTAGTGAACCATGGCTTAGGCAAAATGGGACAGGCCAGTCTCCCATTATATCTTGGTATTATTTACAAAGAATAAGTATCTGTGGACGTGGGTTGTATGCTTGCTTCCTTGTCCACATACATGCTTCCGACAGCAAGGGTTCAGTCTGAGACAAGGTTCAAACCCAGGCTCTGTTCTATTCATGCCGCTGTTGCTCAGACCGTGGTGCCGGTGGGCAGTCATAAAGATGGCGGCAGCTCAGGGAAGGTCCCAGCTGCCTTTCCCTCATAGAGCTAAAACTAAGTGATGGTGGGGGAAGAATCTCAAGAGAAAGTAAATTTGATTGCTAAATATTTACATTCATAAAAGCATTAGATAAGAACAAAAAAAGAGGGGATCCTCCTCCATCAGCCCAAAGCTCTCCCCAAATCTATACCGTTTCCCACAGTGATCAATCCGATGGTCTTATCCACCATGAATTTGTCTCATCCCCTTTTAAAACCAGCTCAGTTGATTCACAACATTCTGAAGAAGCAGAATTCAGTAGTTTAATTTTGTGCTAAGTAACACTTTTTTCTATTACTTTTCCAAGCTCCAAATCTTGTCATCCTCCCTCATAGGGAAATTGAGCAAGCCGCTTGATCATTTCAGTTCTCTTTTTTGGCAACTTCTCTAGCTCTAAAACAGTCTTTTTGAATGCATCACCCAGAACCATGCACAGTAGTCCAAACATGGTCAGGCCATAACAATTTGTATAAAGGCACTAGGACACCAGTAGTTTTGTTTCTGAACCTTTTTCTGATGATTCTGTACACAGCACTTGCCTTTTCCACAGCCACAGTGTGCTTTTTTCACATACAGTGGAGAGCGGAAATAGTTAGTGCAAGCCATGAGAACTCTCAAGTGTCTCTGCTTTTTAACTTCTAATAAATGACTTCGACAGGCTGCAGTTTAGTAGCATAGGAGCAGGACCAATTATTTTTAAAAAAAATGTAGCCCATGTCATCTCCCTTTCTATCCTCTTGCCACCATTGCTTTTCTCTGTGATGCAGAAAATACTTACCCTAAAGGACAGGGTTAATGTAAGGAGCATGCATGTGTGTGCGTGTGTGTGTGTGTGTGTGTGCGCGCTCCTGCAGCATTGTCATCCTATGAGCACATGTTTGTAGAGGCAGCATGTGAGAAATCAGGAACAGAACCAATTTCTCTCAAACAATGGAGCTTATTCAGGCAGGTGAAAATGAGTAACAAGAAACTTTCTAATGCCGTCCCAGTAGAATGGAAGGAACACTTTCTGATCGCTATAAATGGTTGCTCTTTTGCCACTGGGCAAGTAAATCCTACACTTTATTTTTAGGATCTCTATCTGAACAGACAAGACTGCGGATTAAAAGAACTATGCTCAGAAGATCTGTATGCATACACCCAATTCACACCCCTGATTGCCCTTGCTTCTGTCACTCACCTGTACCCAGGTGAAGAAACAGCAGAGGAAGATCCATGCTCAGTAAGCTTCCGATGTAGGGTGGTAGGCAGGATGGATGCCTCAGGGCAAGAGGAAAAGACCAGCAGGCTAAAGGACTGCCTAATAGGGAACCTACAAGTAAGCAGCTGGCTGTGTAAAGTAGAGAAATGCAGTTTTGCTTTACCTCACACAGAGAAAGGGAAGAAAGCCCAGCCCTCAGCAGAGGCGGTGGAGGGGGCAGTAGCCAGACCAGAAAGCATGACTCAGTGTGACTCCTGCGGATGAGACAGATGGCTCTCAGAAGTCCAGTGGACCACTGGTGGGATCAGAGGCAACTGCTGAGCAGCAGACAGCTTGCCTTCCTTCCTAGCAGGCAGAGCTTTCCCTGGAGTGTAAAAAGCACCTTTCCTAAAATTCTCTTTTCCATGCAACTTCTTCCAGAGATTGCAGAGTCTTGATCTCTCCCTTCTTGCAGAATCATCTTAGGACGCCAAAGGAGTAGGAGCCCCGTTTTCAGTTGAATGGCCTGAGTGAAGACGTGAGCTGCAGAAGCCTAGAATATGGAAAGTTCTCTGCCAAAGCCCCTCGTCCTAAGACAGAAGTGGTCGTGAGCTCCTTGCCCATGCCTGAGACTGATAAGGAGCTCAGTATAACCGTGTGGTTTTTGAGATGTGAGCCTATGATTGGATCTTGATGGGAAGGCTTTGAATTTGGCCCCTGCATTCATTTGGCCTTTCCTGCCCCTTCCTGAAACTGTGTTTTAGGCACAGAAGCCCTGCCAGGAGAAAAGGAAAGACTGTGACCTTAAGTCAACACTACCAGTTTTTTTTTAAACTAGCTCTGCTTCTCTGTCCGTAGCAGCAATCTAAGGGCAAAATGATATGTCACATGATTCGGTTTTTTAAAAGTGTAATTACACTTGCCACTTTCATTTTGAAGCGGGGGGGGGGGGGGGCTGTGGGGCAATTGGTAGCTTGATCCTGAAACACACAAGTATGTTCGTGTGAGATTTTCTAAGCACTTGAATCTCTGTAGCAGGGGCGGTTGGGGAGTACCTTTCACCTACAAAGGAAGTTTGCGAGTCAAAGTGGTATTAAAAGTCCAGCGAGAAGGCCTGTTTAAAAACAAGACAAAACAGAAAACTGCCTTTAGACGGTTTGCAGACTTCAGCACTATTAAGAGTTAACAATTTGATGGGAAATGCTTGGGTTGTTTATTATTGTATAATAATACGATAGCAAACAGAAGAAGAACTAGTTGCATTTTTTCAGGTGCCAAAAATAGACAAAGGGAAAGAGAATTCTAGTAGTCATTTTCAGTCTAGTCAGAAAAGGAATAAATAAAACAGGATGCAGAAGTTTCCCTTAGTTTCTGAGGAACTACAAAGTTCAGTCTCTTGAACTTGCGAAAGAATGACAGCTCCATCAGCCCAGTCCAAGATGCTTCTGGGCCAAATGTGCAATAGATGATTCAGCAGCATCTGCAGCTCTACTAGGGGCGTCTGTAAGCAGCAGAAGCAAGTTTTTTATCCTTCAGCTTTTTAAAGAGTGAGGTGTAACAATGGCATTATACATTGTGAGACAGAAAGGCTTTCATGTTTTTTTTCCAGCAATGCTGCTCAGGAACAACTGTTGCAAAACACAAAGGAACAAAAGCAGCATATACGTGCTTGCCAACATTGGAGAGGGGGGTTCACTGAAGAAAACTAATAAATTTCGCAATGCATCAGAAATGCCATAGTGGGCAGATGTTGTGGGGGGGCCTGCCCTTGGGCAGAGTGCCTCTGTGATGCGAGTTCCCTGCCTTCTCCACTGTGACCTTATAGCTCCCCCGACTCTAACTTTGGGCCGGGCAACTGTTGTGGCAAGTAGGTGCCACAGATGTCATTGGATGGGTTCAGACAACACAGTAACTCACACCCAAGAGTTGAGTATGCTTGGAGTGCATGTTGCTGCTGAAGTATGGGTTGTTGTGCTGTCTGAAACCAGCTGCACTAAAAAGCCATGGCTTGGTAACCATGAGCAACACGTGAAGAGAGAGAACCATGGTTTGGTTTTGGATTAGGAACTGTGGCTTGTTCAACATGGTTTGTTCTCTCCACTAGGTTCAAACAACACAAAACTCATGTTTCAAGAAAACCTGTAGCGCAACCCTGGATGTGGGTCATTGGGTAGCCTGAGCCCAGTGCCTGCTTGCGCACTGGCCCTCTGCCTGTCAAGTAGCTGCGATGCCAAGAGAGAAGAGGACAAGAGCAGCTGGTGGCAATGGAGTCATAGAGCAGACTCTCTGAGGAAGAGGGTCTCTTCTGGGTGCCTGTCATGAGGTGGGGCTCCTCCTCCAGGCAGTCAAACACCACAGACTATTTGCCTTACAAAACTTTCTTTATTGCTCCCAAATACGAATCACCCAGAATGGATCTCTGAGCATGCACAGAGTGGCTTATTGAGCTCAATCCAGTGTTTGCCTCCAGGAACTCTCCTTATGAACATGCCTGGGCCCACCCCCTCGGGAGGGGCTCTCTGAAGGCGAGCACACCCCCTCTCTGTCTGCTGCTCATTCAGTTGGGCCTCCCATCTCTGCTGACACCTTCCCATGGGGTGGAGAACAGGGAGGGCCTGGTCTGCATCTGAGCATCCCTCATCCTCAGGGACACCTCCCATTGGCTGTACATCTTGGTGATTCCCAGGAACTGCTTGTCTCTGCAAAGCAGAGACCTTGAGATAATCACCCCCTCCTCCTCCTGCATCCCAGAATCTTGCTCTAGCCCATCCTCTCCAATCTCACTGAAATATATTTTACTTTCCAATTCCAGACTGTCTGGATTGCAGCCAGCAGTCCATGGGAATGATTGCCCAAGACCACCATCCTTCTTACTTCCAACAGTGCCTGGCCCAAAGGCCCTCAGGTACCTGGAGCCAACAGATGCCAGCATGTGGAGGGAGGCAGGCAGGCAAACAGGGGCAAGGGTATAACGATCAGATGGCCCCAGCAATAATATATAATGGGAAAAGTGGGTTACTTATGATTGTTGTTGTTGTTAGTTGCGAAGTCGTGTCTGACCCATCGCGACCCTATGGACAACTTTCCTCCAGGCCTTCCTGTCTTCCACCATCCCCCGGAGTCCACTTAAGCTCACACCAACTGCTTCAGTGACTCTATCTAGTCACCTCATCCTCTGCCATCCCCTTCTTCTTTTGCCATCTATTGTTCCCAGCATTAGGCTCTTCTCCAGGGAGTCCTTCCTTTTCATTAGGTGACCAAAGTTTCATCTTCAGGATCTGGCCTTCTAAAGAGCAGTCAGGGTTGATCTCCTCTAGGACTGACCGGTTTGATCGCCTTGTGATCCAGGGGACTCACAGGAGTCTCCTCCAGCACCACAATTCAAAGGCCTCAATCATTTGGCGCTCAGCCTTCCTTATGGTCCAGCTTTCACAGCCACACATTGCAACTGGGAAAACCATAGCCTTGACTATACACACTTTTGTCGGCAGGGTGATGTCTCTGCTTTTTAGTATGCTGTCTAGATTTGCCATAGCTTTCCTCCAAGGAGCAAGCGTCTTTTAATTTCTTGGTTGCAGTCCCTGTCTGCGGTGATCTTGGAGCCCAGGAAAATAAAATCTGTCACTACCTCCATTTTTTCCCCATCTATTTGCCAGGAAGTGAGAGGACCGGATGCCATGATCTTAGTTTTCTTAATGTTAAGTTTCAAGCCAACTTTTGCACTCTCCTCCTTTACCCGCATCAAGAGGCTCTTTATGATACATGCAGCTGAACATGGGAAAGTTGTTTGGGTTTCTTTGAAACAGCAGGGTATGGAATGAGCATTCCTTATATGATAAAATATTAATCTCTAAAAAGATCCTGTTACATACAGAATGTTATTTTTGCACTAATACTTAACCACCCATAAATCCGGTCTTCTTTTGCTTCTCTTCTGTACAACCTACAACGGTGGATTTGCTGATCCTGATGTCAGTGGTTAAAAACTAGAATGGTCAGTTCTGACTCCTTAAAGAATCACTTGTTTGTTTCATGAGTTAACATCATGCTCACTTCCTAGGGACTCTCTGTAGAATCTGTACTGTGTCAGCATCTTCTTAATCCTTTTTTGTCTCAACCTGTCTACTGCCTTTCCCATATGCATGTGCCATGTTTTATGGATAGTCCCTTATCGTAACCATGACTGCCATACCTTGCCTTCTAGCATGTCACGTATGAAAACAGGGACGTAGCCTGCTATTGTAAAAGCAAGGAAAGCATGCCAAGTTTTTGTCCTACAGGCCTTAGCACCATGTGGAATATTCAAAGGGTATTATACCATTATACTAAAAATACCCTCATACTTTAAAGTTCTTACTACTAGGAATTAAGCTTTAGAAGAGCATTTCATCTTTTTAGAATAGGGAAGAAACTGCACAAAGACTGGGAAACCACAAAATGTTGGTGGTTGGAGAAAAGGTGAAGTGGCTTACGGAAGGGTTATGGCCTTCGGTTCTTTATCCCCACCTTCAAGAAGCCTATCCAAAATTTACTTCCTTCAAGGAAGGTGCTTTTCTCAGCACTGCCTCCATTAGAGTCTCACTGGGTACAGCAGGGCCTTTGTGGTGCCCACTTCCAGCCCCTAAAACAACCTATGAAGTAAAACTAAATTGATCCCTCCCCTGTGGTCCTTCCAATGGCAGAAAGAGATGGTTTTATTCAGGGAAGCCTTTAGCATATAAGATGACATATTTCTGGAGAGTTTTCAGAAATTTTCTGGTGCCATTTATTCTTTTATTGCTATGTTTGTAATTGGGCATTTAATTTGTGTGAATGTGATTTTATTTATGATTGTGTTTTTAGTCATATGGAATGCATATGAGCTGTCTTTAGCAAAATGGCAGAATATCAATTCAATATAAAAACAAATTGTGCATACAACCCTTACATCCTCCCAGTTCATAAACAATTTATCCTACTGTGCCCAAAATGACTTCTAGCCCATGGTATTCCTCACTCTACAACCTGGTAAACTATGAAGAATTCACACTTTCCATGGCCTTTCAGTCTCCAAGCCACTACCCTACAGTGGGTGGAGAGACACGCCTTCAGTGCCTCCCCTTTAATCTCCTA